GATAAAAAATGGCTACACCTAAGTGTGTGTGTGTATATATATATCCGCCCGTGTATTATATAATTAATTAAATTAAATACTTTCACTATAGGGTATAGAGGTGTTATTTGAACTGTTGAAAGTAAGAGAGGTTTCAATTTTTCCAAAGAAAAGAGAGGAAAGAAAAAAACGTCAGCGTACATAAAACTGTCCGAACGGCCGCGCGTACAAACACGCTTGCACGCACGCACGCACGCACGCAGACAAAATTCCAACACTATTTATACATTAACGTTTACATCCCAATATCCATCAATCTCCATTTTCGTGCCATTTAGCATATCATCATCCTCTGAAAAATGGAGGCGAGCCGTAATACAAACTCCGCTTTACTCTCCACTTTATTCCTCTTCCTTCTCCTCATCATTTCCTCTTCAACTTCCCTCAACTATCACAACACCTTCTTTCCAACCTCTCTCTCCCATGCCCACCACGAACCCGAAGAGCCTCTTACCGTACCCGAATCCGACCCCAACACTATGACGCTATCCTTGCCTCTCCTCCATGTCGACCATCTCCACCCCGCCAAGTCCTCTTTATCCGCCACGGAATTCCTCAGACTCCGCCTCCGCCGGGACATCCTTCGGGCCCAGGCACACAAACACCTAGGCGGCCCCGCCCAACTCAACAGCTCCGTCTACTCCGGTTTCCTGCAGGGGAGCGGCGAGTTCTTCACGCACCTCTGGGTCGGGACCCCACCCCAGCTCGCCCAGTTCGTGATCGACACTGGGAGCGACCTCACCTGGCTCCAGTGCGCCCCCTGCGAGGTTTGCTACAAGCAGACCGACCCGGTTTACGACCCGGCTCAATCCAAGTCCTTCAACCCCGTCCCCTGCGACTCCAAGCTCTGCCACCCCGTCCACTGCAAAGACCGAAGCTGCCAGTACGGGATCGAGTACGGGGACGACTCTTTTTCCAAGGGCAAGCTGGCGACCGAGACCCTGACATTCCGGACCACACGGCTGGCCCGCGTCACCCTCGGCTGCGGCCACATAAACCGCGGGCTTTTTTTTGGGGCCGGCGGGTTATTGGGCCTGGGCCGGGGGAAACTGTCCCTGACGACCCAGAAGGGCCACCTCTTCAACAGGACCTTCTCCTACTGCCTCGTGAGCCGGTACGTTTCCAAAGGGTCATCGTGGCTCATGTTCGGGAATCCTGCCGTGCCGCAGAAAGCCGTCTACACCCCTATGGTGAAAGGCAGGGTCCGGAATATGGCCGACATTTTCTACACAGTCCGCCTGACCGGGATCTCGGTGGGAGGCCAGGCCGTGGAGCTGCCGGAGGCCGCCGCTGAAAAGGAGGTGATTGTGGATTCAGGCACGGCAGTGACCCGGCTGAGTCAAGGGATGTACAAAGCCCTGAGGGACGCTTTCAAGGAAGGGAACAAGAATCTGATTCCCGCGGACTCCCCAATGCCGGACCTGTTCGACACGTGCTACAGTATGAGAGAGGGGGATAGTGTCACGGCAGTGGCGTTGCAGTTCGAGGGCGGGGCGTTTATGGAATTGCCGTTGACCAATAGTTTGGTTCCTCTGGATGATGAGGGGACGTACTGCTTTGCTTTTGCGGGGGACATGGACGGCCCAGGCATACTCGGGAACACTCAGCAGCAGGGCTTCCGGGTCGTGTTTGATCTCGAGGGCCACCGGGTGGGGTTCGCTCCTGATAGCTGCTCGAATCCCACCTAAGGATCACATCTACTTATCTCCCATGTTTTCTGACTCTTTTATTGATATATATGCTTCACCAACTATAACAACAAAGAGGGATGACACTGCTGCGTACAAGAATTAGTTTATGCAACAAACTTTCTCTTTAAGGACTTGAAATCATTAGAAATCGTGTTTTGGCAACGTGAGTACTCTAAGAAATATATTTGTGACTAATTAGAAGAAAAATACTTTGTTCTGTTGTGCGATTAATAAACACTAAGAGTACATACAAATAATTTTCCAATAAAGATCATTGGAACTTGGACATGAATAGCATTTTTGAATGCTTCGAGGCTTGATCTCAAACCGAACGATACAATTTGGACTTGAAAGAGAAAATCTTGTTCGTGAAATATGAAATTGAGTAGATGAAGATGTATATGAGATTAATGACCATATAGCTTGACCGGTTCGATGACCGGTCCGGTTTTCAGAAGATTAATAATCTTCCGAGATATCACATTATGAAAAGATCTTAAGGAATGATGATATACCATAATGAAAAGATTCTTTTAATTTATTTTATTTTATTTTTTTTTGGGTAGAACTCGGTACAGTGATCACATAATTTTTCTCAAAAATATTTGATCTTTCTCGTAAATGACTTTGCTCACCATAGTGTTTATTTATTTTATTCTTAATTTCAAATACCTTATCCCGATACATTAATTCAAAATATGCTGAGCGCATGAGCCTAAGTGACAAACTTGCATGTTTCGAGTTTCTATATATCAAAACTGCATTATTCGTTATTAGACTTGAATAAATTTTAATTTACTTCCGATAAAAAAATAATTAGGTTCAGATTATCCATAAATATGTTGATTATTTATGGTCATATTACATGTATTAATTGTATTTTAATATCGTTTCTTATTATAACCACTGAATCGTAAATGTATTTTAAAAGTTAATGACTTTTGTATTTTTTTATCAGTTATATATATATAACATATCAAATTAATCATCTCTTGATGAGCTTCGATTTAACATCCATCCATATTGTATGTATAAAAAAAATAAATTATATTTATCTTTATAACAATAATAAAATTGTTTTTTAATATTAATTAGAAATATAAATTATTTATCAATTAATATTTATATTTCAAGTACGTAGTTATATGATATAAGTTATAAAAATTACTATAATATAATACATGTAAGTCGCACAAGTAACAAGTGTCATTCTAAATATATAATAATATATATTTTTTGTAAAAAATAAATAAAATTTAAGACAATGTTTTTCAATAATTTTAAAAATTTAAGAATAATTTTTTAACAAACACGCGTGTAATACACGTGTGTTGTACTAGTTTTGATTTAAATGTAATTATTTTTAACATTGCAAATTTTCTTCCACACTTGATTGAGAAGAGGACATTTCTTTTGGCTTTTCATTTTCGGTGGGAAAAATTCTAAAGTTTATGACAAATTTCCAGTCTCATAGAGAACGACGACCCTATTTACACTTGTAAGGGGAAAATCATATAAAGAAAGATTTTTGTTGAATTTGTCAATCACAATTTCACTATAAAAATGAAATGTAACATTTTTTAACATGTGATACTTTCAATGACAATAGTCCAAAAGCCGAATAAGACAACCAAGAGCCGAATATAGGTTTCTGAACC